ACATAGGCCAGCCATTGCAGAATGATGTATTGGTGGCTTGGGTTTAAGTTGGGCATCATTGGAATCATACAGAAGAATTCAAGTGTAAGATCTGGTCCTTTTATCGAAGAGGATGAATCATCTGAATTAAGAGAAAGACAGCACAAACCAGCCTTCTTTAATCAGAAGAACCTTATCGTACAAATCTCTCCATAAGCTTCAGTGAGAAACATATGATGAGCGACACAGAAGCAGATTTGGAAAATGGCAGAGACCAGGTGACGGTCCTTTAGAAAAATCGGGAACCCTGGTTTCTAAATCGAACAGTCAGTTACAACTGGAGGTGAAAACTCAAACATCTGATTGCCGAAATCAGTAGGTGATGAGATATCCTAATCTGTATCTACTAGTTCTCTTGCAGTGCTCCGATTCTCAAGACCGGAACTATGTCCTGCAGACAAATCCTGAAGTAGAAATTTTGGCATTCCATGAAACTAAACCATGCAAATGGAAGGTTGCGAGAAGAACATGTAGAGTTCCAATATCACCCCAGTTGGCATCCCCAAGCTTGTTCCAGATCCGATCAATAGTAGGACTTTGGCATGTTTTTTTCCCCATTTGGCTGCATACTCGTAGATATTGTGCAACTAACTTATTAATATCACCTTCAATGTTTCCTACTGCACCATATTGTGAATCAACAAGAAGCACAAATACAAAGTTGGAATTACAGAGAACAGTTGCTGATTTGCTGAGGCTTCTGGCTAACAAAATGGCAGACTGGTGATCATTCTGCACTGAAATTCCAACATCGGACCTCAGCAAAGCTAATTCAATAATCTAGTCCCATTTCCCATGGAAGTGCCTTACTATTTCTCAGCAAAATGGCAGTTGCAAAAATGCCTTCAAGTTTGCCTCTTGAAATAGCCTTTTCAGCAGGATAAAATTTTGAACTTGCGCTACGTATAGAGGCTGCCGAAAAAGGCACAGGTTCATCATGACCCCAAAAGGTCTCCTATAATCCCTTCACACTAGTGTGTAGAAAATCTTCAATAGCGAGATGAGCAGTTGCTTCAAAAGAAACAGGTGTTGATGCATAAAGAGCATTAGGCATCCATATCAACTGCTGAAAAGGAACACCTTCCATTGCATAATCAATATTCTGAAGTTCTGTAAGTTCAAAAGAAACATCAAGGTTTGGCTTTCTAAATTCTGAATCATCTGATATTCCTGAAATCCAATTTTCAAGGTCTGCTGTCAAGATCTCACTATCCACTAATACCAGAAGAAAATTCTTACAACTGGAATATACTGAACCTCGTGATTGATCTTGTGATGACCAACTAGACCATTTTGGACCAGAACCAACTGAATTATGGTATGGCGACCAACTTAGCAATTAGGAGTCGTTAAAAAATGCAGAACCTTAAAAGTGTAAATGCAAAAATAGTGTTCCAGCAATTAAGGAAAAATGGCTCGTAGTACAATGGCAATAAGTCATTCTTAAATGTAGTAGATAAAAGAATATCCAAATCTATCTCAAGCACATTAGTAAAGATTGGTCCTACACTATGAACTTTAAGGAGTTTGAACAAGTGTCAAGGACATCAAAGGCCTACTAGAATAAGAATAGATGTTTTAACTTTGCTGTCCATATTTAATAGATTGGTGTATAAATAAAACATTAACCATTTTTTTCATCTGAAATTGAGACGAAGAGATATCTCTATATGAAGAGCCAAGTAAAAGACCATTAGAGACTAGGTATTTGGCATCCATCTTAATTAGGATGGTATAGAATGTAAACATAGGTTGTAAATAATAATTTTGGAACTCTTTAAAGATATCCTAATTTATATTTTTTAATACAACAACAACAGTCCAACTAGTTGGGATTGGCTATATGTATATTTTGTCATCATATCCATATTTATGAGATCTGATATAGTTTTATGTTATCACAAAAACTTAAACTAATCCTTCATGCTTTTCATCCCCGCTTAGGAATGGCATCATGGTGTTATTTTATATCTTTTAATATAAAGAAAAATATTTGGATGAGTTATCCAACTGTATGGTACTATAAACTCACAAGGGCAAGAGTGGGCGCGATAGTTGAGACCACATGTGATGGAAATCAATAAGATACCCGCGACTGTATGGTACTATAAACTCACAAGGGCAACTGTATGGTACTATAACGAGAGTTCGACCCAAAAGATACCCGCGAGGAACCTTGAAAAAGCTTCATGCCTAATACTCTGGTCCTTACAAAATCATATGAAAAATCAACTCCGGTGTCTATGACCTTGACCTTCCACCATATCTTGGAATTACCCGAGTTATCAATATTAAAGATATGACACCCTACAAGGAACCACAAGATAAGACTCCACCTCACTTCCCAAGTACCCAACCTTCTACCTTATCGCATCCACAATCTATAATGCCTTCCCCACCTATACCCACTTATAAGAGGAGAAAAGAGGAAATAAAGGATATTCTAGATGAACAACAAGTCTCCACTTGTAACGAGGGATATCAGATAATCAAAGATTCCATGTCAATTAGAAAGGATGATCAGATTCAAATTGCACATGAATCACAAAAGAAGTACCCCAACAACTCAACCCTGAACTCTACAATCAGTATTGCCTCATCACTTTATTGGAGATGAATGCTTTCAAGCCGGGGAGAGTTGATGGAAATCAAACTACATTTCGAAGTAGTGGAAAGAAAAAGGGCCGAATCAAATCACATTGGATTGATAGTGAACTCAGGTTCGGGTTCAATTGACGTTTTAGAGTTGCCACATGGCAACATCCTGCACAATTAGCATCTTATTTTTTAGATTAATAATAAAGTAGAAGGAGAAAATAAATAAGAGAAAACATTGCAAGAATTATCATCTTGCAAAAAAGAAAGAGCATCATGCACAAAGAAGGAAGATATTTCTATACAATCATCATCTTGCAAAAAAAAGAAAGAACATCATGCACAAAGAAGGAAGATTATTTTACGAGAATATTTCAGAATCCTATCTTCGCAAAAGATGACCCGATACAATGTACTGAATCATCTTGATATGATTTTTATTTTTTTCTTTATTTGTAACTTTATTTTCTTCCTATATTTATGGCCTATATAAAGAGGCCAAAGTATTGTAATGGGATCATTAGTATTGGAATGAATAATTAGTTTTGTTTTTTCACAAATTGTATAAGTGGTGCGAGGCCACAACTTCCCCCCGATCAAGTTGGAGGACTTGGGCAAGTCCAAGATTAACCCCTACATTCCTCTCCTGTCTCATCCTCAACCATCTTGCATCGCTCTTCCTTGATGATCTTGGTACGTGATTGAACTTCTGCTTTGTTCTTTATTACTTAAATTAATTATTCTGCAAATCGGGTTTCTCTCGCCTTCTCTCCCTGTTTTAGCGCTTTTTTTTATTACCCGCCTAACCATTTTTCTCTTCATATTAAGCATCCCTTTATGGTTGTCCTACATCATTGATGGTCTTTCATCCCCTTAGTTTCCCCAGAACCTTAGCATTACAAGAGTGCCTTCTTATAGCTAATGGAAAAAAATGCAGCAGTAATTATTTGAAGAAAAATCCTTATTTGCTACTGATTTAGTTAACTAGAAAAAAAGCATAGTGTCTTAACAGCATATCAGGTAAATCAGGGTACAACACCACCTCAGGATAGACAGAGGTGAAAAAGAGGATATTGTTTCACTAATTTTAGCAGATAGGTGCCCATAAATTCATAATCTACTTATGACTATCATTATATGGGGAAAAAATAAGATAACTTTCTTGCTAACATCACATGCTAGATCTTCTATTATGAACGTCCATTAGGAAGAACACGTTTGAATACCCATAAAAATTTCAAAACCGAATTGTCTGATAGGTTCTTTAAGCCTCAGGTTGTGGAAGCAGCAGCACCTACACATATTGGCATATCATAATAACGGCCGGATCATGTTTGTGCTACCCATTAATTAAGGTGATCCCACAAATACAAAGGTCTCAACGATGCAGTAAGACAAAAGAGTGAAGTTAGCAAAAACCCAAACCCTGCCTTCCCGATCGCGTCGCGATCACCAGCAATTAGAACCTTCAAAATCCATCCGAACCCCGATTCCCCATCTACAATTACCCAAATTCCGACCACCGAGCAATAAAAGAAAACGGCGACATCACAAATTCCATCGTAGAGACGAATCGAGCGCTAACCTTCCGTTTGAGGGGAGGAGTTGGGCATAGGGCTTGCGTCGCGGCAGAGAGGAGGAGATGAAGAAGGGAATCGGTCGTCCTAGTAGTCGTGACCAAAGCGGCAGCAGTAGCTGTTGTAGTTCTTGGAGTTCCACTTCGCTCCTTCAATTCTTCTCAGAAAACCTCTTTCTTCTTCCCCTCCTCCTCTCTGTCGACCAGTCACTTCTTCCTCCGTCGTCGTTCGTCTTCCGCCGTTTGATCGTACTTTTCAATGTTTAATTAATTAATTATTATTGTGATTTGATCTCTGTTGTTCTTATGGGTGTATATATACCAAACATATAACCTACCCGTCTCGGATGCCGGACTTGGAAATGCAACTAATCGTGGGTCCCAGCGGTCTCGGCGGCTCGCCTACCGCTAGAATTTGAGCAAGGGGAAACGGGGCCGCGAACAGAGAGGAAACGGGAATCCGGAATAATTCTTTTAATGGGCGCGCCCCACTACGTAAAGCTACGCAGGCGTGCTTCTGACACCACAGGCGCCTATGGGCAAGCGCTCTTCTGGGGTCCACCTCGGAGAAAACACGGCCCAGTTCATCTCGAGTTGGTGCCGAAAGCGTGTACGATGCGACAGCGTCCACGATGCGACCACCATTGAGCTACACGCCGGTGTCATCCCGCAGGAGTGAGTCACCCTCGGAAACCAAAAGGGGTGATGTCAGCTCTCTTAAGGAGTGGATGCACAAAAAGCTTACATCATAAATTTATCATTAATATATAACTATATTTGAGATACCAAATAACAAATTTCACATATATATAATTTTTCTTGCCTTATATTGCCCACTTATATTTATATTTATTATTTTAAGTGTGTCCTTATTTACTTGCAGTGGCTTATCGACCACACTACATGCAAGCACGTAGCTGCTGGTGGTGCGGCGGCGGCCACAAGAATGGAGCGTCGGCATTCTCGTCGCTGCAGTAAAGGCAAGGGTGTTGCGACAAGCCTTGCTCACGGAGAACCTTCCGCACACCCATCACCAGTTCCTTGTTGCTCACCGCCCCTTCCTTCTCGAACAGCACCACCTGCACGGCGTTGGTGAACGCCCCGTACGCCTTCCCTCCCGCCTCGAACGGGCTCATGTCCGCCGACGTCTCGTTCGCCTGGCACCCGCTGAGGAGGATCCCGTCGTCGTGGCCTAGCGAAACCGGCATCGGGTGCTTGCCGCCGTTAGAGAACCTCGCGCTCGCCTCTGCCCCAAACAGCTCCACCAGGTGGTCGCCGACGTGAAGGGAGTCGATGCCCGAGAGGGAGGCCAGGTGGCTCAGAACTGACTCGAACGGCATGGCTCTCGCCTTCCGTACTGCTGCGCTGCTGCCGGCGGCGATGGTGGATGGGCCTATCTGCTCCTTCTCCTTGTCAATGAGGCCGCCGCTGTGGCACGAGTCGGAGACGATGGTGAAGCTCGCCCCCCGCGGCACGCGGTCGACCAGTTGCCGGAAGTCCACGTCTACATACGTGCAGCTCCAAATCATGCAATGCGGCGGCCACGTTGCAGAGATCAAAACAGAGCTTACCGGTGATGAGATTGAAGTCACAGGGGACGATGGCCTCATCGGGCTTGTGCCAGCCATGGTGCGGCCTGACAGGCGGGATCAGTGTGCCGTGGCCGCTGTAATGGAAGAAGAGTACGTCGCCGAGCTCGGCCCGGCCGATCATGGCGGCGAGTGCCCCTCGGATGTTGGCGCCGGTGGGGAGGACGACGGAGCCAGGGGCGTCGGTGAGGAGAACGACGTCGTCCGGGGCGAAGCCGAAGCGGGAGACGAGGACGTCGCGCATGGCGTGGACGTCGTTGATGCAGCCGCTGAGCTCATGGCGGGTGTGGGCGTAGTTGCACCCGACCAAGGTGGCCAACCGCTTCTTGCCCGCTTCCATTTCGCTTCCTCGATGTGCTCACAGGAAGAAGATGATGATGCTACTCACATTAGCGTGCTCAAGCCATAGTGTGCAGGGCTTTATATAGAGGACAAAAGATATGATTTCCAATTTGCACCGAGTTAATTACATCCAATTGTTCATGAATCAATATGAACTTGGAAAGCATTCCACAAATCGATCAAGGAATCCATGGGAGAGAACAACTGTTGTTGTATTTGGATGGAAGACTTGCGTATGAGCCTGAATAGGTTTTGCTTTAAAGGTTTTGTTGCCCTCATCTTTGCTTTCACGCATGGGGAGCTGCAGGTGGCCATAAGAGTACTCAACCCCAATGGTTTCCGAAGAAGATTAAGTTGGAAAGGAAGCAACAAAGAAGTAAGAGGAAATGGGGGGAAATGATGTGGTTGATGATGGTACCATTTATGCATAGTTAAACATCCAAATATAATTAATGCATAGTTAAACATCTTCCATATCAACATTGAGAAGCACAGTGAGTTATGAAGTACTTGATATACTATATAAAATGATCATAGCAAACCAAAAAGTTCTAATGATTGAAGAGTGTACAACTAAGGTATATTAGCTCAAATGGTACATAGCATTATGTTGATTGCACATTTGAGGTTTCAGTCTTTGCATGAACCAACAAAAAAAATGTTATTAAATTGACAATTATTACACATCATATAAGACTAACTCTTATAAAATGACTTTAACACCCCAATTCCAAAATCAAGACATCCCAAATTCCATTTTAATTTTTATGCAAAGCAGTGTTCCAAAATGATAAAAGAAAGAACATATGAGGACTTCCAACACTGCCATTATATGTTCTCATCAACAAACATATCATCACCTGTTTATGTTTAAGATTGATCTTCTAATATCGGTTCTAACTTGCTGAACAAGCACCAGCTCTAGCTTTGGCAGCAGCCTTCATGATGGATCATGAAAACTAGGATCATCTTCACCCTGTAAGACATTCATTGCTTTCATCAAATTCCTTCAAGAAAAATAAAGCCAATGGACTAGAATAAAACTATCGGTTTTACTTTCTCCATACTGCACACAGATCCCTTGAGAATTCCGACAGGGGCTCTGTTGTATCATGAAGAAATTTCTCATTGATTTTACTCTCCACAGTGTGGAAGCAATATACTTTGCATGAACAAGACTGTGTCTGTGATTTTGAGCATCTTTATGTGCTTGTGTGCTTTGTCAGAAATAGAGAGGGAGAGAGAGAGAGAGAGAGAGTGTGTGTGTGGGGTAGCAGAAGGGGATGGGTAATTCCTCTTTACATCACCTTTATGTGCACACACTTTAATCAGATGCCACTTAATGCTCTGGCCTACTGATTCCACTCACTGGTTAGTTCTGTGACCAAAGAATGAAATGCTGTCTGCAAAGCTTCCTTTGTCTACCAACATCCCATCTTTCCATGGTCTTTCCTCCTTTTTGCAGTATCAAAAATGCTCCTGTAAGGTAAAAGAAACGAGCTTTCTGCTTTAGCTAAGCAGAGCCTTCCTTCATGCCGCTCTCCTCTTGCATCAAATGAGCTTCCCTCCCTCGCACTTGTCTGTGCACTTCCTTCATGCTCAAATCAAGCTCATCAGCAGGCACACCATGAACTGCGGGCCGAATCAGCTACTTTTTGTTGGTGCACTGTAAACGAATAAGAAAACAGAACAAGCAGAAATCAACATCCTTTTTATGTCTAAAAGTGTACTCAAATCTGGGATTAATCCTTCACAACCATCACACACACACACACACACACAGGCTTAAAGGTGATTCAGGCGGCTAAGATCCTTTATGATCTGACAAATTGGTCTAATGGCCTCCTTCCTTCCATGGCTTGATCTCTTTTGGAGCTATCCCGACTGTTCTCCACAAAATCCAACTTCTTCGTCACATGAACATTTGAGCGTGATCTTTGTCTTATCCTCGGTCACATGAATGCATTTAGATTTGTGCAGGGTGCAGAGAGGCTGTGGGCCTAAATGAGACAAGGCATTGAGCTCTGCAATCTCTGTCAAACACTATGAAGTTCTTTGGGATGGTCAAACGCAGTCTCTGGCTCCCAAGCAGCGGGTCACATGTGGATGGAGAAAGATCATGTGAGGCGCTGCAGTTGCCATATGCCGAATAGAATCTTCCATTATTTTCAAGTTCTAAGAACAGTTCTCAGTATGCAACAGTTCCTTCTTCGCACATCCTTCTCTTTCTCCCTTTTATACCCTGCTCTCCATCTACCATCACCGACGCATCTTGCGCCACATAAAAGCTCGGCAAGGTGAAGTGATGATGCATGCACCGGAGAGATGTATGTGTTGTCTACAGTGATGGCCTCCCAGATCCCAAGCTTCATCATCAATGAAAAGGGTTAGGAATGTCTGCTTTTGATTTCTGAAGCTTATAATATGTTTGGGAGGAGCTGCATCGAGTCCCACGTTCATGTAAATGACAGAAAAAGGCAAGTAGAAAAAGATGCTGCACCAAATGAGCAATGTTGCAGAGGATACATAGTTACATTATTATTCCATCCGCTTGCCACCTTTACATGTGCTATCTGAACTCACGGGCCTGCTTTGATACTGCAGAAGATTAGAGAGTAGAGAGAGTGAGAGAGTACAACGGAATGAAGAACAGCATATACTGCATTGCAAAGCCTAGAAGCAGTTTGGTCTATTGGTGTCATCAGATCAATCAAACTTCAGCAGCGGAAGTAGTAGCTAGCAAATAGGGTCAGAGTAAGGGCAGGAATGTCACAAACTGGTATGCATTGCAGAGCTAGAGAGAGAGAGAGAGAGAGAGAGAGAGAATAGAAAAATGTCTTTAGCTGGTTATGCTACATGGGAAGAAACCTTTTAAAAGAGGCCACAATTTCCCATGGAACAGTGCCATGTTAATTATTGATTGTACAATGTAATACCCAGTGATAGGAAAAGAGTAATACCAGAGAAGTTCCAGCTGATGCTCATAAAAGAAGATGGAACTGAATACTTGTGTATCACCAGATTTGAATGAAGAATACACATTCCTGTGGACACAAAAACACAGAAACCTGATGCATATTTAATCATGAGAGAGAGAGAGAGAGAGAGATAAAGGTTGGTGTTGTTTGTCTGTGAGGCTTTCTTAATGGAGAGCAGCGGAGACATGGTGGTCTCAATGGATTCAGCAAAGCCAGTGCCGGCGCCTTTCCTGACCAAGACTTACCAGCTGGTTGACGATCCCTGCACCGATCCAATCGTCTCCTGGGGTGGCGACGAAGGCACCTTCGTGGTATGGAGGCCACCGGAGTTCGCCAGGGATCTGCTGCCCAACTATTTCAAGCACAGCAACTTCTCCAGCTTCGTGAGACAGCTCAACACTTACGTATGGTTCCAATGCATAGCTCTGCATGCTCGTCTTCTTCGTCCTCGATGCTTCCTTTCCCTCTTCTCTGTGCTGGGTCGCGGTACTTGGTGATCTCTAGATCCCTTTCTTCTTATACGCATGCTTGGTCTTCTAATTTGCTGCAGGGTTTCAGAAAGATTGCGGCGGATAGGTGGGAGTTTGCCAATGAGTACTTCAGGAGAGGAGAGAAGCATTTGTTGTCTGAGATACACAGAAGGAAGACCTCTCAAGTCCCTCAGTTCTTCCACTGCCACCCCCAGCACGCCTGGATTGAGCCACCTTCGGCAGTGCCGGGTGGCGACGTCGACTTCCTCTCGGCTCTTTCGGAGGACAACCAGAGGCTGAGGAAGAAGAACTCTCTGCTCTTATCAGAACTCACCCGCATGAAGAAGCTCTACAACGACATCATCTACTTCATCCAACACCATGTCGCCCCCCCAGTCGCGCCTGAACCAAGGCATGCCAGGTTGGTGGAGCTGCCGCCCTGCGATCAGAACCAGCCTCTTCCGGCGACTGCCGAGCCAGACAGCGGTGTCAAGCTCTTCGGCTTTCCGATCCATGGCAAGAAGCGGCTCAACCGCGAGACGATCTGCCTTGCAGAATCCAATCCTGAGGAGCAGAAACCACTGGAGAAATCCCTTGAGAGAGAAGGTTCAGTACAAGATGTTAGAGAGTCGTAATGCCGTCTCCCAAGCATTCAACTTTTGTGGCATTTTGTAAGGTTTTCAGCTGGGGAAGCTGAATCTGCCGTTCCTATGAGTAATTTAGCAGCATTTCTTTGTATTCCCAGTCTTTGAAGTAGATTCCACCTTTAGATTTCACAGTTGCGGGAGAGCTGGCTATTGTGGCAATCAAAAATGGAAGAAAGATAATGAAGCTGAACCCTGATAGTAAGCTAGGATGACAACAGTCCTTGGGAAGAACAACAAATTGGGATCGAGTTTAGATCCTCTGTTGTCCTGCACATTGTTTAGAGAAAAATACTACCAACACCAAAAGAACAAATGTATACAAATCTTAATTTGTATAGACTCCAATATACAGTCAGAAACAAAGGCACAATCTTGAACTCAGGCATAGGTTCTGGACTCTTTGAACATATCAACAAAAACCAACTCTCATGAACGCAAACTGCAAGCCGCAAAATGGTTGTGCGGTTCAGTCACTACAGGAACAAACAGGGGAATTGCCGCTTAAACCAAATCGAGCAAAACAGCCACCTAACACAGTTAATCGAGGACCAGTGACTGTAATATACTCCAAACATGATGAGTATGCCTCGTTCGGCTTTTCGATAGCAAGGCTCTTCCCGTATATGCATAGGTACACCTAGGAGAATGGCTTAAATTTGCTTGGATACTCCCGGTATGTGCTACACCATGCTAATATCAACTTTGCTCTTGTGAATCTGAAAGGCAGGAGTGATCCAGCTGCCGCAGCTGCATTGAATGCCTGACCAGTTGAAGTATCCAAGGCGTGCATCACATTTGATGCATGAGAGTTTTCCTTCCAGCGCACCATCTTCAACTGCAACATGATAAGATCCATGGAGATGTTTAATTTGCCAGTATATTGGAGGTTTAGGGGGGAAAGAAAAAAAATTAGAGACTTCGGTAAACTCAAAAAAGCAGTCATTCCAACAAGATCCAAGTGCAAGCAACTATATAGCACTCAACCTTACTGTAGTTTGTCTGCTGACAAATATCAATGTGATATAGCCGATTAAGATCTTGAATACTCTTAAGTGCAAAACTCTGAACAATGCAATTCCAAAGAAGCAAATGAATTACCTGAAGTCATCCACTTCAAGGGTTCAACAAACAAGGAAGAACATTCTTGCTCCTGAAACCTATTAGACCAATTACCACTTTTTCGCTTTTGCCAATCAAAGAACGTCTCATTCTCACCAGGCACATGGCTAACGACATTCTCTTGCGATACAACAATTCTCCTGCATTTCTTGCAGCGGTAAGCTGTAGTATGTTGATTTCCCTTGCGGACTTCCTCAGAAGAGTTGGACTCTAGTGGCAAACCAGGATCAGCACCAAATATGGAACTGTCTATTTTCTCCCCCTGTTTATATGAATGACCTGAAAACAAACACTTGTAATAAGTGAAGTGTCGGAACTCTTTGTGTGATGTGAAACAAAGCAAGGTTGATAGGTAGGTGAAAGAGGAACTGGTACGGGAGACAGATAATTAGAGAGAAAGAAATATCAGGCCAACCAGCCTGAGAAGAGATTCATAACTTCAGCAGTAGATTCATATCTTCTAGTTAACTCAAGACATAAGCACTATTAATAGTTGAAGACCGTTAGTCCTTTCACTTAAAAGAACAGTAAACAAGGAATATAATAAGAAAAGAAATACATTCCCTCAGCTGTGTGTGTGCTTAATCCAAGAGCCCAATTAACTGGTCAAATCTAAACTGTTTGGATAATCTTTAGCTGTACCATAGCAACTAGTCACTGTTTTGTTTTGAAGGACTCCCCAGAAAGGTAATAACATCTTTTCATCTTCCTGTATATCCAATTGAATGATTATGTCTCCTTTCAGCCAAAAGCCAAAATGGGGGCCAAAAATGACTAAATCAAGAATCTTAGAGCCTTCCCTTATCTGGTAACCTTCTCTATTGGAGCAAGTAACCAGGAGGGCCTCCTGATCGATCTGGGACTTCATCATCCATATGGCTGATGCTTGCAAGTCCAGCAAACAGACAGTTGTAGAAGAATAATTGATCATCGATTTTGTCCCAACTGGGAGCCTTAGACAAAGTCATGATAAAAAGTCCTGCCCACACATCAGCTTTCATAATGAAAGAATTAACTGCTAATCTTTTCCTTAACAAGACTCCTAAGACCAACCATAGAAGGACCTGATGTCTAGCCCGAACTTGACCCAGCACAAAAGAGAATAGAATCATAATGCAATTCATGATAAAAAAAAAATTGCATACTTGGTTACAGATAGGTCTTCCGGAATATAAAGAATGCACATTAATCCACAGTTAAGAACCCACCTAATACTTTTAAGCGGAAGCGCTTGTAGATGGGGTTTTCAGTATCTACTTTGAAACCCATTTCTTCAAATAAACTTAACTGCAAGAATTAGACATTAATTTAGTCAAGGGTTTTTTTATAACACTATTTTTCACAGGAGCACACCAGCACCCAAAATTAACCTACCTGATCCAGGAAACCATCATTTGGGCTGACAGACTCACAGATTTCACGCAAGGACTCAAGTGCATCTGTAAACATAAACACCACCACGTACACCAATTAGTAAAGAGAAACTAGCATAACAGTTCTAAGATTTCACCATTGTTAGCAAGTGTGACTGTGTGACTGTAGTCGCTGCAGTCTGTCCACATAGATTCGACAATAGTCTACATTTGACAACAAATATAAGAACAGAAAATAGTCTCCAAACCTTCCATAGATTTATGTTCTGTTCTCATTAGGTACGCAATTATTACGGCAGCACTGCAACAAAACCCACAAAAAACACATAAGGAAGATAAGCTAGAGAAGCAAAAATGTACAGAAAAGAACATCAGCTGATTCAGTAAATAGTTAATATTGCCCCATCTTGAGAATGTCACTTGCAAAAAGAGTCAGATTCCCGATCCTGATCAACATGTAAGTATCAGCCAAAGGCTTAATAAACAAATCAATCAATATGGTTTTTTCATGCGACTCATTCCAAAAGATAGGTTACATTAAGAGGTAGGTTATATAGGGATGCATCAAAAGCCAAAAAATAAAAAAAGAAAGGGACAAAATACCTCAATTCAATACAGCAGAGTAGTGATCTATAACCTGGTCTTGAATCCTGAAGTTATAACCCTGTATGGTATAAAATTTCCTACCCAGCAACTTAGCTTGTCATTATATAAGTCATAGCAATTGGCAGATAACAACATGCATTTAGGTACTGCTTCTTTCTCTTTTTTTTTTGCAAAGGATTAGTGAAGATGGGTTTTGATCCTAAGAACCTATGATGATCCGCCAAAGTCTCTACCAGTCAAGCTACCAAACACCTTAGAAAAAAAAAAAACCTTATGTTAGATGAGTTCCAAACTTTCAACCTTTGATAAATGTAAATTGTATGATAATTGATCTAAGGACCTAGTGATAAATCGTAACACTATTAAATACTTGATTAAAAGTGCATGATAAAATTAATTAACAAACTTTAACCACCAAAGACCAGCCAGGGTCATAAGGGTGAAGCAACAATGACAAGCTCTGGCATTTCTGGATTTTGCCTCAGTTTCAGTGATTCAGGATGCCGGGAGAAATATATATATCTCCTCTTACTAATACAGCCTTATGTATCGTTTATTTCATCAACAGGTACATAAATCTCAACCAATAAATTATACAGAGATCACACATCCCAGAATCTCAATTAACCAAACTCCCAAATATATATCTTGCAAGTAAGAGGCAAACCACGTATATTATATCAAAGATTCCGTTTTTGATGACAGAGAAAGCATGACGAATGAACAACGAGAACAGAGTATCAAAGCTTTTAGAGAGAGATGCAAACCCAGAGTAAACCTAAATACCTTCGCGACACTCCTGCGAAGCAATGCACCAACACGCCCCCCTCCTTCCTGCCCTGATCAATGAAATCCAAGCACACATCCAGATGATCCAACAGGTTCTCGTCTTCTGTATCTCTCAACGGCACCGCCATCCTCACCAGCTTCAACTCCGGCCCGGCACGCTCGAGAGAGTACACCAGCTTCCCCGGCGCCAGCGACTTCCTCGGGGAGCCATCGGCGCCGGCGAACACCTTCCTGATCTCCTCCGTCGGGATGGAGATCTCGGACCGCCAGTCGGAGAAGAAGGAGATAGAGGCGGAGCTGAGGAGTGACAGGACGTGGGTGATCTCGGGGCTTCCGTTCTTGAGCACCTCGGCGGCGGCAGTGATGTCGCCGAAGAAGAGGCGGTCCCGAACCAGGTAAGGCATCGCCGGCGATCTCCCAACCCTAGCTCTCTCTCTCTCTCTCTCTGGAAAAGGAGAGGCGCTGCCTTGCTTGGTTTCTCTTGCACGCTCAAAACCCTCTTCTCCTGATCGAGGGAGACGCTTTCATTCGGCAGGGAATTGATTTGAGGGGTTTTTTTTTTGCATTAAATAAAATATATAGAAAAAAGGGAAATTATTTATCGCTTTTATGTTACACAATCCAAATGCTTTTATATATTTTCCTACTAAAATATTAATTTAAAGAATACATACTCAACTTAATTTTTTATTAATAAATTAATTTTAAATTAATAAAAAGATTATATTTAGACATGCAAACTAATTAATGTATTTATAGGTTTGAGGTTTAAGTAATTTTCCTTAACCCCTTTTTTTAGAAAATTAGCTCAAAATAAATAATTAATTAATATAGCTTGATCTTAAATTGTTCCCATGAGGTGGATCCAAAATTAGTCTTGAAAGGAGCAGTAGGGAATCTTCCAAATATATTTTCTTTGTGCTTTTAAAGGCTTTTAATTGTTTTTCTTTTCATAGTACAAAAATGCGAAAAGAAAAAGAAAAAAAATTAACTAACTTTATATATAACTAAGTGCATTATTATCCTCAAATATCCGAAGAGTTAAGTGTGGATAATCCAAAGTAATTGGGTGGATATTTCTATGTGCCCTTAGCAATTTGTACTTGGGATCAAGCTGTTGTTTCATGCCGAAACAAAGTTTGTCGCTGTTATGAGAGCGACTGATGTGCATATATTCATCGTCGATTTTTATTACCATACATTTTTATGAAAATGTTTATTTATGTCTCCATCGCTTTTTCTTTTCAGGTTTTTTTTTTTTTACGAAGTTAATTGTCGGTGATTTTTTGTCATCAAATGTATTTAGCATCTAAGTTATGTGGATTCTCACACCAAGATCAACTAATTGGCATAAAGAGTATAATTATATTAAAAGATTAAATTTTCAGCAAATACAACTTCATAAATCAAGCTAGAGAATGTATTTTATAAGACACCAATCATGACATAATGATGTATTAACAACTTAGATTAATGATTGACCATATAAAGTGATAAATAATCATGCTAGTTACATGACTGATAAACAATATATTAATATATATATATATGAATAATAATAATATTATATTATTAAATATAGTAAAATACTTTATATGTTATTGACGTTCTAGTCAACTTGACGTAATTCAGACCCATACTCACAAAATTATCCGAGGTGAATGTTGAGCTTTCAAGGCGTCACGTACACAAAGATCGTGATTAAGAGAAGTTTGTGGTTCAATCCCTCCGATACCCAAGTTAATAACATGAGATATAAGAGTATATATGTATGTTGTATAAGAGAAGTTTTTTTTATCATGTTGTATTTTTATACTTAATCACAAAGGGGATAGTCTATAATTGAGCTTTTAAGGCACCATCTACAAAAAGATTATAATTAAGAGAAATTTATAGTTTAATCCCTCCGATATCCAAGTTAATAACCTAAGATATAATATATATATATATATATATATATATATATATATATATATATATAGTCTAAGAGAACCCTCATTTCCTTTAATGATCTTTCTTAGTCTCTTGTAATAAGGGAGGGATAACACATATTTGTTTATAGATAATGTACTCCCTATTAACGTCTATAAGTTAATTTTCACATCAATCATCATGATGGGATAAATTATTTATTAATTTATTATAATAAATAATATTATTATATTTATCAAATACAAGTATGCATATAATATTTTTCATACTGGAATCCATGTATCACATATATAAGTCAGTTTTCACGTCAACTCAATTTGATGAGATAAAGTATTTATTAATTTATTATGTATAAATAATATTATTATATTATCTGATGCATATGATCTCTTTCATACTCAAATCTCTCTATCACGTCTTATAAGTTAATTTTGATATTAATTATCATGACTCGATTTGATAGGATAATTTTTTTATTAAGTTGTTCTACATAAATAATATTATTATATTATCAAATATAGTATGGTGCACATAATCTCTTTCATACTTAATCCCTCTATCACATCTATTAGTACGTTTTATATGAATTATCATGATTCGATTTAATGAGATAAATTATAGTTTATTATGCATAAATCATCGATATATATATATTATAACTATCTTCATTCATAAATTCTTCTTCTTACAATTAAGATATAGATATATCGACATGATAAAACCTATTGACACCTTAATTTCATATGATTAGTATTTCATCATCACAATGGAACCCTCTCATGACATGATTAATACTTTTATCATCATATAACTAACATGATATCGGCTTTCAAACATTATTATCCATCAATAATTGTATCATAGTTTTTAATTTCGATGTCATATGATTACACCGACATTAAATCACAACCTCGAGAGTAATGATCTTAAACTTTACTAAAAAAAATCTCTCCAGTACATTCTCTATGCCATACTCTTTTGGTGCATCTAGTCATAAATATAATTAAAATTATTAACCCAAAAATTATTTAAACTTTGAAGGGATTTTATTAGGCATATGCACTCTATATAATTTTATAGGATTTAGGACAACTTCAAATCTAATAGTTTCAAACATCTCAACCCGACACTCTCATTAGATAATCAAATTCTACTTTAACACGTTCTATTTTTTCTAACTCCATTCAAGTATAAACACATATAGGGATTTTTAAAATTTTAAATTATTTTCTGAAAAATCATCTTATCTTTTTTAAAATAGAAATTTCACGTATTATTTATTTAACATGGATAGAAACTACTCCATGTTAAATAGGTAATTATTTAACATGGATAGAAATTTCAGGTATTATTTAACAAGAAAATAGGTAAATAATTTCTATTTTTTGGTCATCATAGATGGAAACTACATCCCATAATAAACGAGGGGTACTTTAGTCTTTTCCTATGACCAAACCATTGTGCCTCCCGCAATTTAGGCCACGTCACCCAACGGCTACTTCTGGAACGACGACGCGCGTCCTCAGCCGTAGGATCTCAGAGATCGGACCGTTGCGCGTTCGAGAGAAGAAAACAATTCGACCGTTGGGAACAATGCCTCCTCTCCTTTTAACCTCGCCGCCCCTTTTCGGACCCGCACCGAAATCTTGGGAAGGAGGGGGAGTCGGAGGCGTCGTAGCAGGGGAGCAGGGGAAGAAGAAGACATGGCTTCGAGACCTCAGGCTGTGGTTTCTCAGCAACAGAGAGGTTAATATGACCACTTCGGAAACCTGTTCTCGATTCTTTTCTTCCCCTTCCTTGTTTTGGTCTGCTGTTCCTTCTTGGTTCGTCGATGTTCTTTCTCCACTCTCGGGATTATACGTGGGTGTCTCGTAAAGATTCCAATTTTCGTTGTTTCGGTTCTTGGTCTTGTCTCGCCTCTGCTTTGGTTTTTGTTCCTTTCGATGCTTTCAGGTCTGTCCACGTTGCAGTAATCTTTTGCTGATTTCTGGTCGTTAACATGCGAGAAAGATTTCCCCTTTTTCTTCGTGAGGTTTTCTTCCGAATGACTTGCAGTTACTTGTGTTGGTAGCTTCTTCTTTCTTGGTCTCAATGAGTACCGTCCTGTTTCTCGACCACATGCGTATGTGCACTAAACATTTCTTCTGTTTATGGTGCAATTGTTTAGGTGGGGTGGCGCCGGCGGGAAAGCAGAAGAACGTCGCTGTGGCAGATGGGAAGAATCGCCGAGCGCTCGGAGACATTGGTAATCTGGTTACCGTCCGAGCTGTTGAGGGGTGAGAGCAGCAAAGCATTGCCTTCATAGTGTAATCATGCGCTTCATCGATTCTTTTGATGACACCTTACCATGTTTTCATCGAATCAGGAAGCCGGAACCCCATATAAATCGCCCCATCACTAGGTAGCTTCAATCGACATAAGCCATTCCTTTTGAATCCATCGCTCGTCTTCCTTCCCCATATGTTGTAAGAATTATCTTATATCTATGATTTATCTTCTTAGAAGTTTCGGTGCTCAACTTCTGGCCAAAGCACAAGCTGCAGCTGCTGTTAACAAGGTAGAAATGCTTGCTGTTCCCTACTCTCTTAAATCTTCTCTTTGGTCCCAAATTGTACGTGCAAACGAGCAATCTGCTGATGATCATCTGCCATTGCAATTGCAGATACCTGTGGCTATCCCACCCGATGCAGCAGTCGGTAGAGCTGGTAGAAAACCAGCTAAGAAAGTCGCAATCAAAAACAAGGAGGAGAAGATCGTCGCGTTGAGTCCTGCAAAGAATGAGGAACCAAAGCAAACACACAGCAAATCTTCCAGAAAGAAGGTTCCCACACTGACATCCGTGCTCACGGCTCGAAGCAAAGTATATGACCAACTCAAACATCTCTACTGCATACATGCACTTGCTACAATTCACCTGTGCACTATAACTCTGATTGTCTCATCTAAGGTTGCTTGTGGGATCGTTGATAAGCCGAAGGAGTTGGTAGACGACATCGATGCTGCAGATGCCGAGGATCAGTTGGCCGTCGTGGATTACATAGAGGACATCTACAAGTTCTATAGATCTGCTGAGGTATGTGTCTCTCTGCGTTCCTCAAGCCACATAGGAGTCTCTCAGTATCGGTGCTAAAGTTGCTCCTTTCGACTGCTGATGCAGCACGACGGCAGGCCACGCGGCTACATGGATTCCCAGGTGGAGATCAACGCGAAGATGAGAGCAATTCTAGCGGACTGGCTGATAGAAGTGCACCACAAATTCGAGCTGATGCCCGAGACGCTGTACCTTACGTTATACATCATCGATCGGTACCTCTCCATGGACGTGGTCTTGAGGAGAGAATTCCAGCTTGTTGGGGTGTCTGCCATGCTCATCGCCAGCAAGTATGAGGAGATTTGGGCGCCGCAGGTGTGTAAAGCTTGAGCAAGTGTAAGTTACGGTGAGGTCTTCTCCGCTGAACCGGGCAGCATCTTCTGGTTGCAGGTCGATGATTTCATCTGCATATCAAACATGGCTTACACCAGAGAGCAGATCCTTGGAATGGAGAAGGGGATCCTGAACAAGCTCGAGTGGAACTTGACGGTCCCGACGTCCTATGTGTTCCTCGTGAGGTTTCTGAAGGCTGCATCATGCGATACCGAGGTAAGACTTCGAGGCGGGGCGACGATGGACATACCCATAGAGACAGTTCATGACGCAGTTTGATGTGATCAAAATGCAGATGGAACACATGGTCTTCTTCTTCTCCGAGTTGGCTATGATGCAGTACTCGATGGTGACGCACCGGCCGTCCATGGTCGCTGCTTCCGCAGTCTATGCAGCCAGGTGCACCCTAAGGAAGAGCCCTCTCTGGACCGACACACTTGAGCGCCACACAGGGTTCTCGGAGCAGCAACTGCTGTATGTGACTTGTTAAGATTGTGATTATTGATGATGGCTTGCAGTAAAGCTAACTGGGCATGAACTGATGATGATGATGCAGGGAATGCACGGAGATTCTGGTGAACTGTCATGCGGCGGCGCCGGAGAGCAAGCTGAAGGCCGTGTACAAAAAATACTCCGGTGAAAAATTTGGGGGTGTGGCAATATTGCATCCGCCGGCGACCAAATTGGTACAGGAGCTAAAGGCTGCAAGGAAGTGATCGGAAAGTTACTGATCAGCGTAATTATGGCGTGTTATGTTTGTTTCATGTTCTTCATGAAAGGAAGAGTGTGGGGGGTGAAGCTGATAGCAGCAGCATGAGGATGGTAGAGTGTGGCTTTCTTGCTCCTCGTGCTCTTTAACCATAGTAGTTTGGGGCACGTTAAAGCAGCTATGTTATGATTCTACATGTCAAATTATTTGTTTGTCGAGAAAACCCATTGCAGCATCATATTGTGGGGGAAAAAAGGAATAAAAAAAAGGAATTTACATTATTCTTTTTTTTATTTGCAAAGGAAAAAAGAACTGCATTTTTTTATTATATTGAAATATAAAAAAAAAGTTTTCTCTTGAATTGCAGGGATGTGATGTGGATTCTGGTCATCCTATAAGAGATTTTTTTTATTTTTTTTATATATCACTGTAGCATACATTATATATATATATATATATGTGATTTTTCTATAAAATATTCTTTTTTTTTGTGTTTTCTCATAAAGGATTCATATTTTTGCCTTTTTAATAGTGTCCAATATATATTTTAATCCCATAAATATTATTTTCCTTTCTTTCTTCGTCGTTTTCATTCCGCTCGACCTTCTTCACTTATCACTTTCGTCCTCTAGTTTCTTTATGAGTGACTTTTTTTTATTGTCTTTTATTTCATTTATTTTTTTTCTTTTCTCTCTTACGAGAAGGATGATTACGAGGAATGACAAACGATAGAGGAGGAGAAAGAAGAACCGACAAATGAGAAAGAGAAAGAAAAGACATTTATAGAATTATATTGTTGGATAAAATAAAAACAAGAGACCTTTTTGAGGGAAAAATAGAAACATTTTAAAAAAATTATTTACATATTTATCAACATGATTAATTATCATTAAAAATTTTAGTTATTTAAATATATATAATTCTAAATTCAAATTAGTTAATATCAATTATACATAATTAAACAAGTTTTTTTAGATATATGTAAATGAAAGAATCTTAATATTGAATATATATATTTTTTACATACACCATATCAGAATTTATAATGTATATGCTATTTCCTAACTTTGAAATGTACAAGTAAGATTAATTTTTTAGTAAGATAAATGTGGAGGTTTCCACCAACCAAGTAGATGAACCTATCAATTGCATAACAATATACTAATTAACGAGATATCTCAACAGAGATAAATCTTAATAAAATTCATATATATAAATTAAATAAAATTAAATATAAAATAAAAAGATATATACAAGAAAATATCGTTCCCACGTAGAAAGTCTCAATGATCGCGGACGTGTTCCACAACCGATCCCATAAAACAAGGACAAGATCACACGGTCCATCGGCTCCCTATGTCCGACGTGGCGTTAGCCCACGGTTCGTGATGCGATATCCTTCCGACCAACCACTTCATCCGAATCCGCCCTCCCGACTCTGGACCGCCGAATCGTCGAACCCATCGCCAAGCGCGGAGGAGCGAACGAAGAGCCTCCCAGATCAACGGCTCCGATTAAAGGAACCTCGAGCGGTCTCGGAAGCAGGCCCGATTCGTCGTCCCGTAGTCGCCAGAGGGGTTCCGTTCATGTATGTACGGTCGCGGCCGTGTCTGAAGAGGGCGAGCGAAGCGAAAGCGCTGCTCCGCTGAGTCGATCGTGCAATCCTCCCTTTCTCCAAAGCGACCCCTTTTTATCTCCCCATCAGTCCCAGTCGATCGCTTCGTCTCAGATCGAAGAATCAAACTTGTTCCTCTTTTTTTGATTCGACATGATTCAAGTTTGAAGTTGAACTCTGCCCATTCAATTAGGGTTTGTCTTCACGCGCTGTCCGTCGATCGCCGCCGACTTCTTTGCGGGTACACTTCCTTCTCTCCTCCTCCTGATCCTATTCTTCCTTCCTCGTCCAGCATGGCAGTTTCATGTTAGAGAAGCTGCAAAAAAATATCAAACGAAAAAAAAATGGTGTGACAACTAGTTGATTATGTATTTGCCATTTAGCTGTACTAAGATTGGTATCTGCAAATTCTAAGTTTGTCATAACTTTTCTCACTTGTTCGCACAAATGGTTCTGCGGTCTCCCTCTTCTTGTCTTAACGATTGGACTCTAAATTAACTAATCTGTCGTTTAATTGAACTTAATGGTCCACTTTGGACATGATTCTAAGTTTGTCATAACTTTCTTACTGTCTTCAGACAAATTCTAAGTTTCTCTTCCTCTCTTAACAATTGGAATTTGAACTGACTAATCTGTCCTTTGAAGGAACTTAATGGTCCTCTTTCGACATGTCCAAGTATCCTTAAATGATCTTTTTGGTCATACTCCCAACTGGTGCTATCTTCAGCTAACAATGAAGGTGGTCATACAGGAAGAAACGCATTGACTTTTATGAAAAGAAAAAAAGATCATTACATATTGTGAAATGTACAAGTGGAAGCATTTTCTTCTTCTTTTGCTTCATTTGATGACATGAAACATATTGTCTGTTTCTGACAGATTCTTACGATTATATCAATGCAGTGTCGCTTGAATGATCATTGTAGACTATAACTAAAAATTTTCTACTTATAATTTGGCCTGTTTGATTTTCAGGTAGCTCACAATTCTGCTTTTATTCTGAAGTGCATCAAGCTGTCATCCACTGCTCTTGATATAATGCTGACTCAGAACATTTTCTCTAAGTGTGTGCGGTGGACTAGTTACTTCTCCTTGGCATTTGCCCCGTTTTCCACTTTGACATCCAGTTCAAAAGTGTCAAGCGTAGAGGAGCCTTTGGGTTTTGACACCATGCCAAGATTAAGTGTTGTAGGCAGACTTCAACATTGCGCTTCCAGTTCTTCCAGGTCCAGAATTGATGAAGCGACAATGGGCGAGTGCCTAAGTGAAGGAAGAGAATGCAGCTTATCTGAACGTTGCAAGTAAGCCAAAGTTTATAATTGACAATGAAGCAGATTGAATGTTTTTTCATCCTGCTGCTGTTTACTAAATATTTTTGTTTTGATTTTGCATGTTGTGAAGGTTGTATTTTCTTTTTCCCTTATTATTTTCTTGTTTTTTCTTTGTAGTTTGTTTTACCAACTTTTATTTTTATCTCTCTTCACTTCTTTTCCCTTCAACCCACCACAAAGATTTCTGAATTTGGTGCATGCTTCAAAATTTAACATTGGGTATAGCATAGCATTCAGTATGCGCTTAACAGTGATATGCGCCTGTGTTACTTGACCATACTGTGTATTGTTAGGTCTAGGTCGACCACGATGTACTACCTAGTATCTACTACTTAGCTTGTGTTGTGTGATATGATATTATATCTAAATCAGTTAAGTATAGTTTGCTAGTTACAATGTACTGCTCTTAGCTTTATTTGTGTATTTATGTAATATAGGTGCCCCAAGAAAGAGTTGTATATGGTTTAGTTGAATTTAAAAAAGCTATGATGTAGTTTCTGCAACTTTATCATTGTAGGTTTTAGAAAAGAATTGTGTATTTTAGAAAAGCATATGTAGTGGTTATATTGATGCGATAACACACACACTTATCACTACTCTTAGGACTAAAGGAGTATTTGTCAAGTTTTTTATGACCATAGGTGTATATCAGGGATCTACTTTGTGTCTTTCTTTTTACTTAGTTATGAATGAACTTTGGTGTGTGTTATTGCTGTGTTAGAATCTCATGGTCGTGATAGAATCCCATGGTGTGTTATTGCTGGAGATAACATTTTGGTTGGTGAAAATTTTGTTGAGATTAATTGTAAAATAAACAATGAAGGAGAATACTGAAAAGTGAAGTATTTAGATCAAATAAAGGACTAAAACTGAATTTACTTAGTGTAATTTTTGTGATAACAAAAGAATAATTGAGGATATAGTTATGATGGATATATAAAACTAGTAAACTATCTTGGATCTGTTATTCAGCAGAAAAGGGAGATTAATGAAGACATTATTGATTAAAGAAGGGTGTTCCAATTATCTTGTCATTGGTCAAGATTATTCTGTCAGAAAATTATTGTAAATGGCTCACATATCCCTAGGGTGGACCACCATGAAGAAAGTTTTTTTGACCCCACTAACTGCTAAAGTTTGGTATGATTTTTGTATCAAATCCTTTGTTAAGGACCTAATCACTTTTGTCAATGTATTCTGCAATTGCTCTCTGCTGATATATTTTAAAATGTTTTTCTTGTCTGAGTTCTTCGCTTCATTATTATTCTCCATGACAGTTACTACTGAAATCAGTCTTTTGTTTTTCATTTCAGCGAAGAACATGGTTCGAGAAGACAACCAAGGGATATGTTTTCTAGAGACCCATTAATCTGGAAAAGTATTGGTAGGAACCGGATGATATGTAGTGTCTCTGATCCATGGCATCTACAAAATCATCGATATAAGTCATCTTGCAATGACATGGAAATAGGTGGTCTAGCGGGCAAGGTGCTAAAAGTGATAGGTTTTGCTTTTTTCTAAGATTAGAAAGCTTGATGTCTTTTGCTTCTTGTTTGATGTTTTGCTTGGTTGCACAATATTGACAAAAATTATAAATTATGTCCGTATGAACTGTGCCATGCATTATACTTTTTAAGTTTTTGAAACTACTTATATTGCACCTAAATTCATATTTTGCTGTTAAAGTGAAAAACTTTTGTCCTTTTTGAATTATTAAAGGTTGGTATTGTTTTATTGTGGAATGAATCTGTGATGTTAATAGTGGTGCCAGTTGTAAAAACTGTTGTTCCTTACATGTTTGTTACATAGTAAATGAAACCTTCAGTTTAAGGTTCTCTAAATTTATGCAGTTTGAACTATTTGCAAACTTAAAGAACTGCCATTATAATGTAAGATTGTATGGTATTTATGTAATTTTGCTGAAAGTGTTGTTCATCTAGGTAGAGCTGCTTTTCTTCAGGCTTCTTGATGTACATGTTACTGAGAAATTATGCCCTAAAATTTGTTTGTGCCCTAAATAGAACACTGTACTGCATGGTAAAGTGTGATGGAACATATTTTTTAAAGAAGTTAGAAGTTTCTCAAAGATGTATATTGTACAGTTTCATAAGTTTATCTACATCTTCTCAAGTCTTGGTTAATGATGAAATTGAAGATTTTTTTGAAGGTACCGTTGCATGATTAGTAACATGCTGAAATGTTACTAATCTTCTCCTAGGCTAGCATCATATGAACTTGCCTTTGACATGACATGAGCTATGCACATGTCCCAACTTGCATTGACAAGTACCATATGCAAAAGCTGGATTTCTTGGCATGTGCATAACATAGATGACATAAAGAATTATTTCTATAGGTTATTGCAATAAGCAACTCAATTAGATTAAAAAAATAAAAAGTTCTGTTTAAATAGAATGATGATCTTAGAGCAGGGTAATATGGATATAGAGTTTACATGTTGTCAAATAGTGGTTAGACATTACCTAATGCAATTTCCAGTTCTAAGAAACTCCAACTTAGCCAGAGGTGAAGTACCATCTAAATATATGCAAGTATCCATTCTAAATCATTCAACAGTTGCTTATATTTTCTTAATAATCCAATTAAAGCAGAAACAAAAAAATTGGTAGAATGAAGAAATGGCAGAAATAATAACTTGTCCTGGTATGTTGCAATCTCTGCTAGCTATTTTTGCATTAACCACTGGATGATTATCTCTGGATGCATATCCATCTGTTTATGTCCTCTCCAGAACTGTCATTTATGCTAGTGGAGGTCAAAAGCTTCTGTTCATTTAACCATCCTCAAAATCAATGGAACTACACAATCAACTAATTGTTTGGAGCTAAATGATGTCTTAAGTCACCTTTGCCATTTATGTTCAATGTTTACAATTACGAGGCCTGTCTTAATAACCATCGGATTGGTATTTACTTGTCAGAACAGGAATGTGTTTCATAAACAACCAAATTTGTTTTAAAATTATTTGGTATAATTTAAGATTTATTAATTTTAATTAGATGCCTCTTGATAGTTTTCACTAAGTAGCTCTGAAAATCTGACGTGTTAGTTTCATGCTGATGATCATTCATTATCCTTGTCCATTAGGTGAAACTAACAATTAACATGTTTGCAGTTCTTCAGAAGTATGCCAAGATTTGTGAAGATTGTAGAAGTTGGGCCTAGAGATGGTCTACAAAATGAGAAGCTTACTATACCTACAACTGTAAAGGTTGAATTGATACACAAGTTGGTTTCCTCTGGATTATCTGTTATTGAAGCGACAAGTTTTGTCTCTCCAAAATGGGTACCTCAGGTACTTTTTGAGTTATCATCCCATCATTAAAGGGTCCACCTTTCCATAGGTTAAAATTTTAGTTTAATTTCTCCCAATATTTAAGAGTTTAAGAACATGAATGAAGATTTCATAATGGAATCCATAGTCTTCTGTGCTTGGTGGTACAGTTCACTCATATCACATGAAAGTACGGACTCTTCCACAACTAGAAGAAAATAGAGCGCTTATGTTATGAGTGATTCTGGTCCCCTTCACTCAGGGTTAATGGAAAAGGAAGTTCATCACACTTAATACTTTTCAAGTCAAATGTCTCAAATCTGAAGAACTTGAGTGATTATTCCTTGAGCAGGAATCTTGATCATATTGTAGCATGGGGGTCATCTTGGAAGAAAAGCAAAATGATAAGATTAGTTGACGGTAACTGGAAAATGTTCTTTCAGTACCTTGACTGCTTGGTATCTTATATAGATAAATTTGTATGTATTGATTCACATTATTAATACTGAGGGTTGCAAGTCTATTTCTTGTTTGGTAGATACTATAAACACTCCTGAAATCATTTATGAAATTACCTCCAAACATCACTTGTGGTTAGGTTATGGTGAAGTTTACTTCGCTTATTCAAGGAATTGCTTACCAAAATTATGTAGTAGAACATATTCTATAAACCCTAAAATTACTAATAACGCTGCAATGTTAATACTTTGAGCTCACACAAGACCAGTAAAGAATGAATTCTTAATTAGCATGCCATCATTTATTGAATTGTTTAATATTGTAAAGCTCAAAGTGTATGTATCACTTGAAAACCAGTTTATAAATGTAATTCTTGTATAGTTGTTAATTGAGGTATTTATCTACAGCTAGCAGATGCAAAGGATGTCATGCAAGCAATTCCTCTATTAGATGGTGTCAAATTTCCTGTGTTAACTCCCAATCTCAAAGTAAGTTTCAAATTTCATGTCTGAACCTACCATATGGAGTAGCATCGTGTTTATCAGAGGAAGAACTGTATATTTACAATCGAAATGTTCAGGGTTTTGAAGCAGCTATTGCAGCCGGTGCAAAGGAAGTTGCTGTATTTGCATCAGCTTCTGAGTCCTTTTCTAAGTCCAACATCAATTGCAGCATTGAAGAGAGTCTCAATCGTTATCGTGAAGTTGTTTCTGCTGCAAAAGAACTTGCAATTCCTGTTCGTGGGTCAGATCTTCCTACTAATTTTCGATAGCATTTAGTGATGCGCCTAATCATTAAAGTTTTTAGCTTATTCTCTGAAAGTTTTGCAATATTCAGTTGAATTACCTTTCTAAGAAGTTGTTTGCCTTCTTTTTGCTTTCAGCTGAATGGCCTGCAGCCCAGTCAACTTGCATTTGATTGACAGTGAAACAAAGATATAAGAAAACATCCCCAAGAGAATAATAAACATAAAATGATAAAAGGAACATAAAACAAGATGGGGAGAGGGCAGGTGAGAGGTTAACTTTTGAAAAGAGCGATGATTTGACAATAAGGAGGGCTTCCGTGGTAACATAAAAAAGGATGGGAAGATGCATGAGGCTCCCACGTATGTGGGGTTTGAAAGATCGATGTATACATCATTGCCTGTACAAGGAAAAAGATTGTTTCTGTGATTTGAATGTTGGTTACTTAGATTGCTGAAGAGGAACATCATGTGACGTGGGCCCATCCTCTGGTTTCCATAGTAACAAAAGGGGTGTTGGAATGATAATCCTTGAACTTCTCCTAGAGAGCCTGGCACACGTATCTCACAGGAGCTAAGAACTCCAGAATAATCCTGGAGTTTGATAATAATGGTATTTTTTACACTATACCATGAGGTGCCATCCACCATATTTGTTGTTACATAAGTTAGATATATGTTGATATTTGACCATTCATAGGATAGGAGAGCAATCACTTATTTCCCTGACTTGCAATTTGTTGGGATTAGTTTTACCCTAGTCCCTAGTTTGTGAATGGCCATTAGCTAGGGCACTTTTAGAGGATGATTTCTTTCATTTTAATCTTATGTATGTATAGTCAGTGCCTTTGCTTCAATGAACCTACTTCTTATAACAGGTTTTAGTTAGTCGAAACTTTTCATGTTACACTTTTCTTATTGGATAGTGGCTGTACTTGAGTCATTGTCACTGATTTCTTTTTAGGTGAGAGTAGCCTCCCATGGAGCAAAATGGCAGGAAGTGATCCATGTAGCTAATTGGGCAGGGGTAGTTGCTTTGCAATTATATTAAAGTCAAGGCTCACCCTTAATATCTCTATGCCTGAATGCTAACTTCAAACTGGGATTCTCAGATTCTTGTCATTGTGCTATGGCATCTCATTCATTAAAATAAATGCACCTGCAATGCAGTATTTGGTGGCATTTGTACTATTGTGATACATGTCATCTCATTCATTAGTGTTCCTATTAACAACTTTATACAACTTAAATTTAGATGATTTGGTGGCATGTCCAGCATTGTTATTTGGTATGATACATCTGATCTGACACTAGCAATTGTAATTGATAGGTATGTGTCCTGTGTTGTGGGTTGTCCTGTAGAAGGAGCAGTGCCTCCAGAACAGGTGGCATACGTGGCTAAAGAACTCTATGAGATGGGCTGTTATGAGATTTCACTTGGTGATACCATTGGAGTTGGCACTCCAGGTAAGCTTTGCTCACTTTATCACATATGAAGTTAGTAAAATGTAATAAACGCATAAGAATTTATAAACCTAAGAAGAAATTTGTACTTCATTTCATTGTTTGCAATACCGACCTGTACCACTCAGTACGGGCAGTACGCACCGGTCTGATAGAGGACCGGTACGCGGACCGCCCTCTACTAGGCGATACCATAACATGACCCCGTATCAGGCAATACGGGGTCTGTACCGGGTGGTAACGGTCAAAATTCAACCAGTACCGATCAAGAGCCGAGATCGCCCTATTTCAAACGATCAAATTGATCGTTTGAACCATAGGAAAGGGTTTTTAAACCCTTTCCTCTCCCCTCTTTCAACTCATATTACTCTTTCAATCTCTTCAGCTCTCTCAAACTCATTCTCACTCATATCTAACAATTCAAATCATTCTTTGTAGAGAATTCAATATTAACGGAAGGACAGTTTACTCCTCAAAGTAAAAAAAAGGATATGTCATTATTTTTTCTTAATTTAGATTATTTTTGCTAAAATTATACTAAAATTATATTTATTTTCAACTTAAAAATCCTAATCTATTTTTTTTTTATTTTTAAAGTATTTTTGGAGTTGGTATGTACTGTACCGACTATTGATTGGTACATCGGTACGGATCGAAATTGCAAACCTTGTGTTCGTTCCTTTTTGGCTTTCTCAGAACTATATTAACAACTTTTCATCAAAAGAATTAGTTAAACTATTAAGTTCATGCCCTCAGAACCATGTGATTTTGTTGAGCTTACATGTTCTAAATGTAGTTGGCACTTTGTTGTAACAACAAAATCTAAGGAAGACTTGCACAGCAAGCTAATACATGTTAAATAATTACTAAATCTCAACTAGTTTGGTCAGCTAAGTTAAATTTACTCGTAGGATGTCAACAGAAGAGTATGTTAACCAAGATCACTCTCTGGCAAGAGGACCTTAAGCCACTCCATAGTTAGAGCCATGTTTGTGGCTTCAGCCATCAGCTTTTAGGCCCTTGTAAAATCATCATAATCTATATTTGGCAGTCTCAAGTATTGCTTGGGTTTTTTTCTCTTTTTCTTTTTTTGTAAGGCAGAAGTGTCAAACTCTTTATAAATCCTATTGACATGGTTTCTTCTATTACAAAAACCGTTATAGTAAAATGCTACTATGACATTATTTCTTTTTCACTGTAGGCACTGTGATTCCAATGCTTGAAGCTGCAATGTCTCTTATTCCAATAGACAAGCTTGCCGTCCATTTTCATGATACCTATGGCCAGTCACTCTCAAATATTTTGGTCGCCCTCCAAGTAAACAAATTTCTTCAATCTGTGTTAAACACAAGTCATACTTTTAGTTCAATTTTCATCCAACTTCATTACTACGACTTCCAGATGGGAATCAGTGTCATCGACTCATCTGTGGCTGGCCTGGGTGGATGCCCCTACGCAAAGGGAGCTTCTGGGAATGTTGCTACCGAAGATGTAGTGTACATGCTTAATGGCCTAGGCACAAAAACAAATGTGGATTTGGGTAGGCTCATGGCTGCTGGGGACTACATTTGCAAACACTTGGGGCGTCAGTCCGGATCAAAAACTGCCATTGCATTGAGCCGAGCTACTGCATATGCCTCTAAGTTGTAGCTATGTTATGTTATCCACTGTCGGTTGTCCCTCGTAAGTGGTTTTAGTTGAGATAATTGATCTGTGTTCCTAAAAGAAATGAAATAAATGGTTGTGAACACCGATGAAATAAATGTAAGTTCACATTGCCATAATGGACTTATATGCCAGATCGAAATGTAATAAAAATGTGCGATACCGATATGGGTGCTTGGTCTTTTCTTCTTTGGGTGGTATGCTTAACAACTGCAAGAACAGCATTATTGTGGAAATTGGTGATTTACCGCGAAGTGTGCAGTACTGCTCAATACCGGTTTAGCACGGATGGAATTCATCGATTGATACATGGATCAAGGTTAATCTTACAGTATAACCGAGCATAACTGTTGCAGGGTTTGTATGGTTAAGTATAGGACTTATGTCGCCTGGCATGCTTAGTACACCTACTTGGTCTTGTACTGATATTATATTGATCCAAGCTTTGATTGGTAGACTGCTAGTGCACAAAATTAGGTATTGAGCTGATATTGTTTTGATCCAAGCCTTGATTGGTAGACTGCGAGTGCACGAAATTATGGATCTTTATTTATTTGCATGCCCTAATTTTTCTTGTTGATCCAACTGCAGACGAGATAAGACCATCATTGACTTCATCTATTTCTTCCTCCATCCCCCTCCATTGACTTCCCAATCCAAAATGATCCTGCAAACACAACGTCAACGACCCATTACCCTTCTCTCTCTCTCTCTCTCTCTCTCTCTCCGCTATCTGTATATATACATACCCATGAGCTGATGAAGGATTCTTGTTCCGCTTCTGCGTTCTCCATGGCCTGTTGTCGGCAACCTGTACGACATCAAGCCGGTGCGCGTCCGGTGCTTCGCGGAGTGGGCGGAGGCGTACGGGCCCATCGTGTCGGTGTGGTTCGGCACCACCCTCAACGTGGTGGTGTCCAGGTCGGAGCTGGCGCGGGAGGTGCTCAGGGACAAGGACCAGCAGCTGGTGGATCGCGCCCGGTCCCGCTCGGCCACCCGCTTCAGCCGCGACGGCACCGACCTCATCTGGGCCGACTACGGTCCCCACTACGTCAAGGTGCTCAAGCTCTGCAACCTGGAGCTCTTCTCCTCCAAGCGCCTCGACGCCCTCCGCCCCATCAGGGAGGACGAGGTAATCGCCATGGTGGAGTCCATCTTCAAGGAATGCAGCCACCCTGGTAAATGAGCTGATCATGAGCCATTTGATGCATGGAATTCTACATCAAGACAGTAATCGTGTCCATCTAATGCAGTAAGCGATCAATGAAACTCTGATTGCTTTGTTAGAGAATATCTTAGTTAATACAGCATTTTGAGTTCTTCTACGCAGACAAGACCGGCAAGAGCTTGGTACTCTTGGATCATCTTGCAGCAGTCGCATTCAACACGATGACAAGGCTTGTCTTCGGGAAGAGGTTTGTGAGACCAGATGGGGAAGCTCAGGGACACTTCGTCGACGCACTTATGATGCTGAAGGACCAGTATGACCTCAGTGAGGACTCCATCATCGGAATTCTCTGGGTTGAGCTGCTATCCTCTGTTATCATGCAAACGTTGTTTTCAGTAGTTCAGGGATCAAATCGTCTGTCATTTGATGAACAGGACATGATCACAGCAGGAGTGGGACACGACAGTCATACTAGTGGAATGGGCCATGGCGGGGATCGTGAGGAACCCAGGAGTGCAGCAGAGAATCCAGGATGAACTGGATCGAGTCATAGGACACGAACGCATCATCAACGAAGCCGACTTCTCCAGCCTCCCTTACTTGGAGTGCGTTCGTCAAGGAATCCCTGCGGCTTCACCCCCCGACCCCTCTCATGCTCCCCCACAAGGCCAAGATCGCCGGCTACGACATCCCCAGGAGCGCCACCGTGATAGTCAACATCTGGGCTATCGCGCGCGATCCGAAGACATGGGAGCAGCCTACGGAGTTCCGGTCGGATCGGTTCCTGGAGGAGGATATCGACGTGAAGGGCCATGATTTCCGGGTGCTGCTGTTTGGCGCCGGCCGCGACGAGGCTGCCACTGCATTTGTATCGGCGTGTACCTGCAGAGATTGAAACCATTGTGCCGTTGCAGCACTTCGTTCCTTTGGGATGTCCGTAAGCTTCCGTTCAATCCATCCGATCACCAAAATAATTTCTCTAAATATCATAAAATATATTTAAATGAATAAATATGCATTTAAATGCATATATATTTGATAGAACATTATTTCCACACACACACACACACACACACACACACACACACACACACACACATATATATATATATATATATATATATATATATATATATATATATATATATATATATATATATGTATATATATATATATGTATATATATATATATGTATATATATATGTATATATATATGTATATATTTATGTATATATATATATATATGTATATATATATATATATGTATATA